ATAAACCTAGCTTATCTTTGAAGAAATGACTGTTTTGTAGCCATAAACCTGATCTGTAATTGAAGAAAGGTCTGTTTTATAGCCATAAACCTAGCTTATCTTTGAAGAAATGACTGTTTTGTAGTCATAAACCTGATCTGTAATTGAAGAAAGGTCTGTTTTATAACAGTATCTTTGGTTTATCATAATTTTAACTTTAGTCTCTCATTGAAAAAAATTAATTTTATAGCCATAAACCTGGTTTATCATTGAAGAAACGACTATCTTATAACAATAACTTTAGTTTATCATAATTATAACTTTAGGCTATCATTCAAAAAAATTAACTATTTTATAGCCATAAGCCTAGTCTATCTTTGAAAAAAGAACTGCTTTATAGCCTTAAACCTGCTTTAGCATTGAAGATATATGTGTTTTATAATAGTAACTTTGGTTTATCGTTAAAAAACAAAATCATAATATATCACTGAAAACCTTGTTTATAATTGAATAAAAGTGTTTTATAACAACTGTAACTTAGGGTTATCATAAATATAACATTAGTCTATCGTTCAAAAAATAACTGTTTTATAGCCATAAAATTGGCCTTTCATTGAAGAGACGACTTTTTAATGAAAGAAACTTTGGTTTGCCATTAAATAAAATACAATTTCACAATCTATCACTGAAAACCTGGTATATAATTAAAGAAAGGAGTGTTTTATAGTCATAAACTTGGTCTATCTTTGAAGGAAAGACTGTTTGATAATTATGACTCTACTCTATCATTGAAAGAATAAATTATTTAAAAACGTGAGTATGGTCCATCGTATGTAAAAAACAAAATAATCTTGATTCATCACTGGAGAAAGGCTTGTTATATAGCCGTAACCTCCAGTCTGTTGTTGTAACTACTTATGTAAACTCTTAATATAGTTCACGAATGAAATAAGAAAAAATTCGAACATTAGTTAAGCATTTAAAGACCAACTGCTTCTATATCCACGACCCTTATCTATCATAGAAAAAAAGGGAAATAAGTTAGTCTTAAAATTCTGTAAATTATTGGTAAAAGGATTGTTTATCGCCTAATAATGTGAACGAAGTACTGTTTTTATTGTTATGATTTTGGTCTATTATTAAAAGAGGAAGTTTTCTATAACATAAATTTAGACATTCATTCAAAGAAAGACTAATGTATACCATAAATCATGTCAATCGCTCACTGAAGAAATGACTTACAAGACCAAACCTTATCAATGACTGAAGGAAGGAAAATTTTATACCCACGTTTCTCATTCGATATTCTAATACCCATAGCCTTGATACACCAAAGAAAGAATAACGGTGCTATGGTTACAATCCTGAGTATATATATTGTTCAAATTTTTTAAATACCTATTACCTTTATACATCAAACAAAGAATAAAGTTCAATGGTTACAATCCTGGGTATATATCGTCCAAGTTCCTTTTAATACCTATTACCTTGATACATCAAACAAAGAATAAAGTTCAATGGTTACAATCCTGGGTATATATCGTCCAAGTTCCTTTTAATACCTATTACCTTGATACATCAAACAAAGAATAAAGTTCAATGGTTACAATCCTGGGTATATATCGTCCAAGTTCCTTTTAATACCTATTACCTTGATACATCAAACAAAGAATAAAGTTCAATGGTTACAATCCTGGGTATATATCGTCCAAGTTCCTTTTAATACCTATTACCTTGATACATCAAACAAAGAATAAAGTTCAATGGTTACAATCCTGGGTATATATCGTTCAAGGAAAGCCCCAGTAGCAACACTAGTTAAGTAAGTTCGGCAAATTACTGTTTTAGCCATAAAGATAATTTAATAAAAACAACAAAATTCTTTGTAGGCTCAACCATGATCCTTTATTAAAGGAATGGCTAATCATGTTTTTTAGTTACAATCTTGGTATATCATTGAAGGAAGGAATGTTTTCATAGTTTAGCTCAGGTATATCATTGATGGAAGGAATGTTTCATAGTTTAGCTCAGGTATATCATTGATGGAAGGAATGTTTCATAGTTACAGCTCATGCACATTGTTGATGGAGGAAATGTTTTATAGTTACAGCTCATGCACATTGTCGATGGAAGAAATGTTTTATAATTACAGCTCATGCACATTGTTGATGGAAGAAATGTTTTATAGTTACAGCTCAGGCACCTTGTTGATGGAAGAAATGTTTTATAGTTACAGCTCATACACATTGTTGATGGAAGAAATGTTTTATAATTACAGCTCATGCACATTGTTCATGGAAAAAATGTTTTATAGTTACAGCTCAGGCACATTGTTGATGGAAGAAATGTTTTATAGTTACAGCTCAGGCACATTGTTCATGGAAGAAATGTTTTATAGTTACAGCTCATGCACATTGTTGATGGAGGAAATGTTTTATAGTTACAGCTCAGGCACATTGTTGATGGAAGAAATATTTTATAGTTACAGCTCATGCACATTGTTCATGGAAGAAATGTTTTATAGTTACAGCTCATGCACATTGTTCATGGAAGAAATGTTTTATAGTTACAGCTCAGGCACATTGTTGATGGAAGAAATGTTTTATAGTTATAGCTCATGCACATTGTTGATGGAAGGAATGTTTTCATAGTTTAGCTCAGGTATATCATTGATGGAAGGAATGTTTCATAGTTACAGCTCATACACATAGTTGAAGGAAGAAATGTTTTATAATTACAGCTCATGCACATTGTTCATGGAAGAAATGTTTTATAGTTACAGCTCAGGCACATTGTTGATGGAGGAAATGTTTTATAGTTACAGCTCAGGCACAATATTTTATATTGAACTTCCCGCGAAGCAGCTCGTGGGCAATCTGCTCTAGCCGTCACTAGTTTTGAAGAGATTGACAACACCCATCGCCAACTCTTGGGTTACTCTTGTCAGACCGAATAGTTGAACCTAACCTCATACTTACAATGCACACATAGCTCCAAAGTGTGGAGAGCGATGTTATAATAATAATAATAATATATATATTTGAGGTAACGGTGCCAGCTTCAGATCCACAGTCCAGCTAACGATTAGGCCGCCCGGGCCTAAACAATTACAATCTTGTTCAAAAGCTGCAGCTTCACCATACATATACATATTGTGTGAATTTATTTGTTTTAAGCTCAAAGCTGCATAATGGGTTATATCTGCTGTGTTCATTGCCTTTATCGAAAGAAAAATCTTAACATTGTAAGCGCTGAACCTTACCACTGAGCCATCGTATAGATTTAGTGGTAATAATAGAGTTTTATCATAGTTAAGATATGTCATGTCAGACTGCGATCACAGAAATAGATTTCACCTTGTGGGAATGACAAGGCGTTTATCATTCAATAAGATGTCATCTTTTTAACATTTTAGTTTTACAAACGAAAATGATTTTTACTTCTTGAATTTTTAAATATTTATTCCAGAAACATAGTAGGGTTTTCGGTCTTA